CCTGACCATCTGTCAAAACAACAATAAGTCATGCTATTTGCCATGTCCCCTGGGGTTGGTAAGAACCTGGTTAAGAATCACTGATAGGGGCAAAGGTTATTTAGTCCTTCCTTTCTCCACCTTGGATCCAACTCCCTCCAAAGACCAACCATGATGGGTTACAACTTATTTAATAAAAGAATTCCTGAGTCGATACTGATAATAGATACACAGATGATAGATGGGAAAATGTTCTTACAGTTGGGTGGCAACTAATACATACAGAAGGATGATAAAGCTGAAAAAGCACCATTTTGTAACTATCACAGGGAAAGCATCAAATGAATGTAAACTAGTGAATGAAATTTTAAAAACAAGACATTATATAGTCTCAAACATCTCCCCAGAAACTACTTATTAATTCAATAGAGCAAAATGGTAACATGACAGTAGAGATACCTGGAAGATACCACCTTAACCGAGTGATTAAAGTTACCATCGCTGGGCCCACACTGATGTAATGTGCTTTCTGTTATGATGCACTGAGAAGGCCACCACTTCACTCCTGTGGTGTTCCTGCCAAAATGCAGAACCTGAATCTAAGCATGAGGAAACTAGACAAATCAAATTTGAGAAATGTTCTACAAAAAAACTGGCCTGAACTCTTCAAAACAGTCCATGTTGAAAGATAAAGAAAGGCTAGGAAACTACTTCACATTAAAGGAACTAAACTGATGGGGTGCCTGGGTGCTTAAAGTGACATATCAATTACACATACTACAACCAACTGGACTTTGGATTAGATAATAGCATGTACTGAATTATATGTCCTGTTTCAATAATTGTGCTATGGCTATGAGAAAAGGACTAAGAAAATGTCTTTGTTCTTAAAGCAGATAGTTAAGTTTTTAGAAGTAAAGTAGTGTAATCTACAACTGATTTCCAAACAGTCCGTAAAATATAATAGTAATAGCAGTAGTAGTTATAATAATAATGACAACGGTAATAATGATGGTATAAATTAAATCTTCAGTTCTCTTTCCTTCAAACTAAATAATCTCAATTATTTTAGCCCTTTAAGAGACAATGAGACAAAAGGATTCAAAGTCGCCTGGTTTAAGCAGGAATTTGGGAAGTTAACAAAAAGGGATCTGTAGTCTCAATTCAATTGAGATTAATAAAAAAAATATTGAGTAGTCATCCTATATTCAAAGAGCTCACAGTCTATTAGAGAAGGAAAACATGCATATAAACAGAGTGTAAGAGAAGCATACTATATGTACCAAAAATGAAGTATAAGAAAGTACTAAGGAATGTTGAGAGGGAGTGACTAATTCTGTCTAATATATTGTACTAAGTGCTTTATATATTCATTCATTAAATGTACCAACAATCTCATTAAGGTAAATACTATTTTATCCCCATTCTGCAGATGAGGCAATTGAAGCACAGAGAAGTTGAAAATCTGGCCATAGATTATCCAGTTAGTTAGAAGTACAGGTATGAAACTCAGACAGGCTGACTCCATAGCCCATGCAAAAGGCTTAATGGAGGAAGCAGCATTTGAGTTGATCTTTAAAAAATAAGTATAATTTCAATAGAATGCGAAGTGGGAAGAAGAATATTTAAGACTGAAGGAAAAACAAAAGTGAAGGCATGGAGACAATAGATACAGGTCATATAAGGGAAACTGAAAAGTTCAGGGAATGGTATGTAAGATGTGGGGAGAGAAATGGGTAAGAACAGAGGTTGGGAGATTAGACAGGCTTAAGAAACAAATTAGACTCCATCATGATAATTAGGCTATATAATTATTAATTATATAGGCTATATAATTATTAATATAGGCTATATAATTATTATATAGGCTATATAATTATTAATATAGCCTTTGTTAGTAAAGAGAATGATTCTTATAATATGTACCATAATCTTGATGCAATTCAGCGGATTCCACATAAGGAGTCGGCCTTTGTGACATCCAAATGAACCTAGTACTAATAAAATCTTATTACAATTCAATCTCTTCTAAAAATACCAGACCACAAATCATGAGAACACTTTCACAGTGACCTCCACACCCATATATATAATAATTTCATTTCACAATGATCCTATTACCATGCAATGTGGAAACTGCCAGAACTGAAAACAGAAAATCTACAGTGCAACATTTCTGCCTTACTTTAACACAAACTATATAAAGCTTTTAAGAAACAGTGAATGAAATGTAAATAAATCATGTAGCTCTGCTGTTACAGTTCCTTGTTTGTCATAATATTTATGAAAACTAGGTGATCCAATTAAAGGGATATAATGAGTAATATATTCCATGAACTCTGTTAGATATGCAGTTCCAACCAGTAAAACAACCAGACTTGAATGCTTAATGCTAGATCTCTGAGTTGGTAGCAGGTATAATTGATTGCTCAATTAATAACTGAAAATAATATTTTGGCTTCATAGTAAATTAATTATGGGTAAAGCAAAGCATGTGGCACTTAGAAATCTCTGTATTCATTTCTTAGTAAATATAAATATTCGTGAAAATCTGATTTTCATTTACTACAGTTTTAGCCTGTTCAAAATCTATACTGTAACCAGAGTACATGAAACAATCCAAGGTCAATAAAAACAAACATTTAAAATTTTCAGAATTTCAGAAAATTTTTAAAACTAAACCATTAACAAATTCATTAGTGACTATTTTTCATATATTTAACAAAGAACAAAAAATGAACTTCATTTCTATAAAACATCTTCGAGCCAGAGTTCTTAATGCCCAACAAAATCTTATTCTATCCTGGAAAAATCCTAACTTATCTCCTTGACTGACAGAATAGAATTGATTAGTGAGATATAGGCGATATTTAGGAAGCATCACAGAAGAAAAGAATATGAAAAAGGCAGACAAACAATTTCAAAGAGCATTTGGAAATCAAAAGTTCTATTTGGCTTAGTCTAAAACTAAAACATAAGTGGACAATTAAAGAAATAGAACAATGAGATATAAAAAAATTCTCTCACCTAAAAACACCTAAAATGGTATGTAAAACTCAACAATCATCCTTTGCCTGTCTAAATGGATTTCTGAGAATAAAGGGAAATACACAGGGCGTTAACAAGGAGGAAAGGAACTAAAAAGCAGTGTAATAATCTTGAACAGACATTACAGCTGCTGGGAGGGGTATTTGCTAATAGGGATTTAAGCTTTAATAGCAAGACAAAGAAGAGAGGGTGGTCCTGGGTCCCTAACATTGTGGAAAGTGGGAACTAATATCACTACATGAAGGCAGAAACCTTGAAAAGCTACATTCCCTATGAAAAGGTGCATTAAAAAAAATCGTATTTAATAGCAAAGGGAGATGATAAAAGGTAATTTGTCTGTTTAAACCTCAGCTCCAAATGAAAAGGTTAAAGGAATCTCATGCTTAAAAGCTAATGTTAACTGGCCTTAAGTTCTAGTATCATGAGTTGCCTGACATCAGCAAGAAATTCCAAAGAAATGTGGAAAAAAATTTTTTAAATGTTTATTTTTGAGAGAGACAGAGAGAGAGAGAGAGACAGACAGACAGACAGAACTCAAGCAGGGGAGGGGCAGGGAGAGAAGGAGACACAGAATCCGAAGCTGAGCTGTCAGCATAGAGTCTGACGTGGGGCTCGAACCTATGAACCATGGGATCACTACCTGAGCTGAAGTCAGAAGCTTAACCGACTGAGCCACCCAGGTGCCCCCTTTGTGTGGAAATTTATTCTTAACCCAGGCCCCACAAGATTCCCACAGATTTAACTTCCCAAAATGAATTCACAATATAAGATTACAAAACTATTAGGGAAATAAAACACCAGGAGTGAAGTCAACAGAAAAAAACAAACAAAATTAGATCTAAATGGACATCGAATATTAGAAATAACAAATACAGAATATAAAATAACTATGCTTAAAAAATTATGAAAAGAGGAAATTAAAACACGAGCAAGAAAAAGTTTTTATAACAACCCAAATATAATTTCTAGCAATGAAAAATATAATTATTTAACTAAAACCCTAACTATAAAAATATTTTTTCCAACAATACTTTAAACAATTAGGGGAAAATGATTATGGACTGGTTATGAAAGGATCAAGGAATTCTTGATAATTTTTATTAGGTATGATAAGAACATGGTAATTATCTAAGATGTCAGTATTTCTTAGATGTATGTAGGGCATGTTACCTGGAATATCCTTCAAAATACTTCAGCAAAGAAAGAGAAAGGAATAGATAAAGCAAATGTAGGAAATGTTAGAAATGTTTAATCTGAACAATGTATATATGTGAAATTTTTATAATATAAATAAAATGAAAACTTTACTCAGATGTGGAATTTAAGAAACAAAACAGACAAGGAAAGGGAAAAAAATAAGAGAGAGAGAGAGACAAAAGAAGAAACAAACTCTTGGGGTGCCTGAGTGGCTCAGGTGGTTAAGTGTTTGACTCTTGATTTTGGCTCAGGTCATGATCTCACAGTTCATGAGTTTGAGCCCCACATGGGGCTCTGTGCCAATAGCATGGAGCTTGCTTGGGACACTCTCTCTCTGCCCCTCCCCTGCTTGTACACACACACTCTCTCTCTCTCAATCTCTCAAAATAAATAAACATTAAAAAAAAACAAAAACCAAACAGACTCTTAATTATAGAGAACTGATGATTACCAGAGGGGAGGGGAGTGGGGGCATATGTTAAACACATGATGGGGATTAAGGAGTGCACTTGTCCTGATGAGCATAGGGTGATGAAGGAAGCGTTGAATTACCATATTGCAAACCTGAAACTAGAATAATACTGTATGTTAACTAATTGTAATTAAAATAAGTACTTAAAAAAAAGAATTAGAAGAAAAAAAAAGAAAACTCAATGGATAGTATAATCAAAATATTAGACAAAACCAAAAAGGAAATTAGAGAATTGGAAGATGGATCTGAAAAGACCATCTAGATTATGATTAAAACTTAAAGGAGAGAAGAAAAAACAACTCACCTTCCTTTGGGCTCACTGCTGCAGGAAGACTATTCCAATCAAGGGTCCAAGTAGGGCAAGGGTGGGGAGAAAACATCACTTCAATGCCTTTTTCCTAGAAATAGGAAATAGACTCTTTCTGAATTAATGAATTAATAAAATTCTGTTGTGTTTTAGAAGATCAAATTTCTATTTTCTACACTGACAAGAAGAAACATAAATATTAACAACCATTAAGTGTTCCTCAAAATATTTAGTTACATAAAAAATATAATATGTTGTTTTTTGAGAGCACACTTTCCTATTTTTTATACTGAGATAACAAAAAAATGCTATTTTTAAATTATTACCTAAAACTACATAGAATAAGCTACCTAGAAATAAATTAGGTGTCAAAAAGAAAAGTTACCTGAGGATAAAAATTTTATCAAAAACGTTCCACACAGAGATAATAAAAAACTGATTCTGCATATGTCCATCAAGACCTGTCTTCACATATATGAAAGTTGCTGCCACCTAGGAGTTACATTTATATGACAAAAAGCACCCACTTCAACATAATACCCCAAAACATCATCCATACCAGTCTTTTACAAGTGCTTATAATGCTCTAAAAAAAGATTCCTCTGTTGTAACCAAATGGTTCCCAACATTTTCAAAAATGAGGACCACTTTCCAGTATACAACAAACTTCTCAGGCTCTTTCCCCTGAGGAGGAAGTTAAAAGTTATGCATTTACTTATTTGATCTGCTGATAGTTACATGGCATACATACGGACTCCCAGACCCCTTGCAATCACATTCTGGGTATGTGGCCCACAGGATAGATACCCATGGTTCAGGTATTTTTATCTTCAGAAATATTATATTCAAAAGAAAAATTTCTGAGAATCTATCACTAGTTTGAATCAATTCGTTCATGAGATTACTTTCCATTATGAAAACCAGATGAATTCTGGTCCCAAAGGAAATAGTATAAAGATTCTTATTTGAGGTAGAGATATATCTTTAGATCTAGAGGCCTAGAGAACTTATCTGCTCCCAGAAAAATAAACACATCTCTCTGACATCATCTACCTCTATTCTATATCCCTTACTCTAGCCTAGCCATACTGAACTTGTTATCCCTCATTTCACCAAATTTAACCTTACCTTAGAGTCTTTTCAAAAATACTATATGAGATATCATTTATATGCCATTACATTTATAACATACAATTCAATACTTTTTATAATATTCACAGTCAATACTAATTTTAGAAATTTTTCATCATCTCAACAAGAAATTCCACATCTATTAGTAGATACTTTCTATCCTGCCCCCTCCCCCCGCCCCCCAGCTCCTTGACCTAGGTAACTACTAATCTACCTTCTGTCTCTATAGATTTGCTCAGGGTCTGTTCAGTAGCTGGATCCTCTGCCTAGAACACTTCCTCCAAATCTTCAATTCATTCAGGTTATTTGCTCAACGTCTTCACCGTGTCAGATAGGCCTTCCTGACCACTCCATCTACAAAGGACCCCAACCCACATAACCTCCACCCCCTTACCCCACATTATCTTTTTATAGCACTTATCATTACCTAATGTGTTCACACATTAAATTGTGTTTTTTCCTTATTTACCTTCTTTATCAGAATATAAGGCCCATGAAGGCAGTCCAATTTGTTTTTCATATATCCCACATTCAAAACAATGACTAAACATATACATTTTTTGGACTAACAGAATAAATAAATTTAAAACCTTTGGAGAATAAGGGAAATTTTGTAGGTAGGAGTACACCAAAGAAAAAAGAAGAGGGAAAAGTGAGATGTGAGTGTTCCTAAGAAATACTTCACTATTTTATACTACCACTTGGCACCGATTTCATTTGTCCTCATGTAACTGGCACAAAATACTGTGACTACACAAAAATTAAAAGTTACTATATAAATAAAATTAATACATTCATATATTATTTTGATATAATATTTACTATTTTTCAAAATGTATGTCAATAATTCATTAGTAAGTAGCAAATACAATGTCCTGCTAAAAAGGAGCATTTATTGTATCTAATACATACTATCAAGTTAGAATTAAATGAAAATAGAAATTTTAACTTATTTTCAGGGTTGGACTTTCTTTTTTAAATTTGTAATTTTTACTTTAGAGAGAGAAAGAGAACACAAGAGTAGGGGAGACGGGGAGAGGGAGAGAGGGAGAGAGAGAGGAGAAAGAATCTTAAGCAGGCTCCACACTCAGTGAGGAGTCTTATGCAGGACTTGATCCCATGATCCTGGGATCACGACCTGAGCCAAAATCAAGAGTCAGACCTCAACCAACTGAGCCCCCAGCCATCGTTTTTAAATTGTTGATGTAATGTCCCAATCATTTTTTATATAACCATAAGATTTGAAATCAGAAAGAATCTTATAGAATAGCTACTATACTCTCCTAATTTATAAATGGAGAAATTAAGGCCCTTAGGTTAAATAACATACTGAAGATCAGAATGTTAGCTTAGTTACAAAGCTAGGACCAGACTACATGGTCTATAGTAGTCTTCCCATGGGCTGCTCCCAAGCCAATGAGTGAGACTAGTTAAGATACTATGTTAGGCCTATTCCTGAGAAACATGGAACTCTCAGACAGATGATTTGGGCTCAAGGATTCCCAAAGTTTTGGCTTGCCAAAACTTTCTCAGACCTCCACTAAACTCTAAAACTTCTCTAACCCAGTCTTCCTTCCTTTCCTGACTCATGTACAAGGGTCAAACCTGCATCCCAGCCTGAAGGCTCTCCCAGCCTCCTCTGTCTCCTTCCCCACTTTACCTCACAGATTTCCCTCAGTAAATCTCTTGCACATTTAACCCCATCTTGGAGTCTGCTCAGGGGACCTGAACTAACACATTCTCTGTAAATTAAAAAGTCAGGATTCCTTTATATTTTTTATGTTATTATAAGACAGCTTATTTTTACAATTGCTTGTTAACTTTTCCTGAATTTAAATTTGTTCTTTATTTCTCAGTGTTTAAATATTTTTAAGATGTATAAAATACAAATGTTTTCCCTAATGTCATTTTATTGCTAGAAAAGCATAGGTAGAAAAATCTGAATCACCAATTTTTCATTTAAGACTCTGTGTAACTATGAATTACAAGCAGATTTTTGGGGGCGCCTGGGTGGCTCAGTCAATTGAGCTTCCGACTTCAGCTCAGGTCATGATCTCACAGTCTGTGAGTTGGAGCCTCTGGTTTGCTCTATGCTGATGGCTCAGAGCCTGCAGACTGCTTTGGATTCTGTGTCTCCCTCTTTCTCTGCACCTTCCCTGCTCGTACTCTGTCTCTCTCTCTCTCTCAAAAAAAAAAAATAATAATAAATAATAAAAAATAAAAAACAAATAAAAGCAGACTTTTGGTTTGTTGAAACTTTAAAAATTTGTATTTTATTTGCTTAATTTTATTAAAATTTTTTTTAATGTTTATTTATTTTTGAGAGAGAGAGGAAGAGTGCAAGTGGGGGAGGGGCAGAGAGAGAGGGAGACAGAGGGCGTGAATTGGGCTCCACGCTGACAGCAGTGAGCCTGATATGGGGCTCAAACTCATGAACTGGAGATCATGACCTGAGCTGAAGTCCGACACTTAACCGACTGAGTCACCCAGGTGCCCTAAATATTAGTATTTTAATACAAAGCAAGTTACTCTCCTGCTGATCATTTAAAGAAACTCAGGAGGTGAACCTGAGATCCCGACGCGGTACAGCCATCTGATCAAGACACATCACACTTTGGACATGCCTTGATATCTTCTAAAATCAACTAAATAATCTTATTTCATTGTTTCATCATGAAGCTAACAAAACTGAGAAGGTAAGGGGCTGGGGTCACTAATACAATCCTGTTCTTTTCTAACTGAGCAAACTCTATTAATGATAGAATTCAAATGCTTCCTAACCCAAGTGGGGAAATATAATGACTATTTTTCCAGTACAACTCAGATGAACATCTCAAATTACTTCCTGATTTTTCCTCTATTCAAATAAATCTTCAAATAGCTGAAGTCAAGGGCAAAACATTTTTGTAAATTGTGTAGAATGACAGAGAAAAGAAAGTCTATTGGGGAGAACTTGTACAATTAATATTATTAGAAACAAATTTTGCTTCAAAGAGAGAAATATAGATCATATGTGTTACTCTCTCAAAAGGCTTTAAAACAGGGGTGCCTGGGTGGATCAGTCAGTTGAGCACCTGGCGATTGATTTCAGCTCAGGCCGTGATCTCACAGTCTGTGAGATGGGGCCACGTGTTGGGCTTTGTGCTGACAGTGCAGAGCCTGCCAGGGATTCTCTTTCTCTCTCTCTCCCTCTCTCCTGCCCCTCCCCTACTTGTGCTCACTCACTCTCTCTCAAAATACATAAATAAACGTTAAAAAAGTTATTAAAGTAAAAAGTAAAAAGAAAATGCAAAGAACTAAAAACTTAAATGTAGGCAAAACCTTAGAAAGTAAATTGATATATTCATTTTCGTATTCTTTAACTTCAAACCACCATCTCAAAATTTAAAAACTGAGGCCAAAACCTTGCAACAGAAAAACACCAGGTTAAAACAATACATTTGACCAGATGTGATATGACCTTGGTCAATGTCTTGAATATAAAAAAACAAGTTTCGAGAAAAATACTTTTTTTATTAAAAAATATTTTTTAACGTTTATTTATTTTTGAGAAGAGACAGAGTGCAAGAGGAGGAAGGGCAGAGAGAGAGGCAGACACAGACTCTGAAGTAGACTCCAGGCTCTGAGCTGTCAGCAGAGCCTGAAATGGGGCTCGAACTCACAGACCAGACTGCGAGATCATGACCTGAGCCGGAGTCGGACACTCAACCGACTGAGCCACCCAGGCACCCTGAGAAAAATATTTTTTAAAAATATATATTCTGACTTACTTGGCTCCAAAGACACATACTATTAAAAATCTTCAATTTACTATACCTCACTTACATGCAAAAGACATGGAAATATTAACTGGTCAAGGGTGATGTAAAACAACTACAAATAAAATTTAAAACAAAAGTAATGTCAATAAATGATTATAATCTGGGGTAGAATGCTCAGCAACATTATCACATGGAATTTTTCAAAGAAAATGTTAATGAAAACATTTTAAGTACCATTAACTTGGTCATAGTGGGTCTTGGTCCTCCTAAAAATGAAGTATCATTTTGCTCCTCCACACCTGGGACCTCACTTAAGTTTGCATCTTGTTCCTTCAAGGTGGTCAGCAACTCTGGTAAGTGGAGAAATTGGATCCCACACTGAGAAGCTGCTGTTTTTACTCTGGGCACTTCCTGAATCCTTTGGTACCAAGCAGCCAGCAGTGGAAATTCTATCAGCTTTTCAGAAAGTTTCTTGCAGATAATTGCCTAGGCAGACAAAGAACAAAACACACTATTCTATATTTTTTGTGTTTAACAGCCATATTGAGGTAACTTTACATACCATAAAATTTGCACATTTTAAGCATACAGCTCAAACAATGAGTTTTAGTAAATTTATACAGTTGGGCAACTATCACCACAATCCAGGATTAGAGCACTTATATCACACCAGAAATTTCCATTATGACCACCTGTAGTCAATCTCTGCTTCCCCAGTTAGTTGTAAGCGACCACTGATCTCCTTTCCATGTCTATAATTTGCCTTTTCTAGTATTTCATATAAGTAGAACCAGAAAACATGTCTTTTTTCACTTAGCATTAATTTTTTGAGGTTCATGTATGTAGTTGCATTTACTAGTAGTTTGTTTCTTCTTATTATAAGTAGTAGTCATTGTGTGGAATAATATATTTTGTTCATCCATTTACCAGTTGATAGACATTGCATTGTTTCCAGTTTTTGGTAATTATAAATAATGTTGCTATACAAACTCATGCACCAGTGTTTGTATGGGAATGTTTTTCATTTCTTAGGAGTAGATACTAGGAGCCACGTTGCTAGGTTATATGGAAACTATGCTTAAGTTTCCACGAAACTGCCTAACACTTCTCCCTGATGGCTGTGCCATTTTATATCCTCACTAGCAATGCATGGAGGTCCTAATTTCTCCAAATCTTGCCAATGATTGGTATTGTCAGTCTTTTTTATTTTCACTATTCTAGTGGATGTGCGGCAGTATCTCATTGTGATTTTAATTTGCATTTCCCTATGATTTGATGATGCTGAGCACCATGTGCTTGTTTGCCATTCAAATATCTCTGGTGAAAGTATGAGAGTCATGTAATTGGCAATTATATATATGGCAAAGAAGTTACAGAGATGGCAAACAAGTACATGAAAAAACGTACATCATTTATACCATTAAAGAATTGCAAATTAAAACAAGAAGACACCACTGCACACCTACTAGAATGGGGAAGAGGCAAAACCCTGACAAAAGGATGGGGAACAACAGGAACTCTCATTTGCTGCTGGTGGGAATGCAAAATGGAACAGCCACTAAGAAAGGCAATTTGGTGACTCCTTACAAAGCTGAACAACTCACCATATGATCCAGCAATTGCACTCCAAATAAGTTAAAGACTTATGTCCATGTAAAAACCTGCACTTGGATGTTTATAGCCAAAACTTGGAAGCAACCAAGATGTTCTTCAGTAGGTGAATGGATACACAATCTGTGGTACATCCAAACAATAGAATATTATTCAGCACTAAAAAGAAATGAACTCATCAAGCCATGAAAAGACACAGATGAACACTAAAAGCATATTACTAAGTGAAAGAAGCCAACCTGAATGGCTATATACCATATAATTCGAAGTATGTGACATTCTGGAAAAGGTAAAACTATGAAGACAGTAAAAGAATCAGTGGTGGTCAGGGGTTAGGACAGAGGATGAATACGTGGAATATAGATTTTTAGGGCAGTAAAACTATTCTGTGTGATACAATAATGACGGATGCATGTCATACATTTGTCGAAACCCACAGAATGTACAACCGAAAGAGTGAACCCTATTATAAACTATGGATTGGGTTATAGTAATGTTTTAATGTAGGTTCATCAGTTTTAATAAATGTACCACTCTGGTGCAGGATTTTGATAGTAGAGGAGACTGTGTGTATGGGGACAGAGAATATTGGAAACTTTCTGTACTTTCTGCTTTATTTTACTGTGAACCTAGAACTACCCTAAGAAAGAAAGTCTATTTTTTTAAAGATATATTTAAAATCAAAACATACTATTTAGATAAGATATAAGACTGACAAAGGACTAATGTCTTACAAAGAATAAGAGGCCCAAAAGGTATTTGTGAATTACTTGAATAATAATAATAATAATAAACATTATATACAGACAAACTAAGAATATATTCACATACTGACTATACTATAAGTAAGAAAAAAAAAAAAGTAATGGAAAAGACCAATACATAGCAGAAAAAGGACAAAAAATGTGAATGGATTATTCCAAGAGAATCAAAAATAACATGACAACATTCAAAATGTCTATAAATGCTACAATTGAAAATCATCTTGTAAAATTGTTTACCTTGTATTCCAGTTTCTATCATCTTTCGTTGGTAGTATATTTTTATGCCCCTCTAAAAACTTTTCCTTAATCAACTTCCTTCAAACTTAGAAACCCCTTCCTCTATAATTCACCGGCAAGAACACATTCCACTGTCCCAGACCATCATCATATTTCATAAGTTCTCAACACCCTGAATATAGAGAGTAAAAGGACACTGCTTAGTCAAAAACCTGAGATACTTAATATATACTTACTTATGAAAATTAGTTTAAGTGGTCAATGGAGGAAGGTCAATGGAAAATGTGTTGAAGTGTTGACTTCTTCAAAGTTTATTATGTAATACTTTTAAATGATTATAACTTGATGTCTATATAGAGTTTATAATCACTGGTGTATTTTGAGGAATTTCAGTGGAAATTATGCACTCACTGGATAAGTGTGGAGATGAGAGAAATGGAGAGGCTATAGTCTTATTTTAATGGTGATTTAAAGTTTGGTTTTTTTTTGTTGTTGTTGTTTTTAAGCGAAGCCTTCTTCCCTAAATGTATGAACTGTAACACAGACTCAAGAATATTACTTTATAATAATGTAAGAAGCACTGTCAGGACTATATTCTCTACAAAAGACTTGATGGAGTAAGGAGGAAATTTCACTAAATTAAAATAGTAAAGTAAAATATATAGAAGTAAAAAGATAACTAACATCATTTACAGGACAATTTTTATCACACAACACTTAAAGTAAGGCTTTTATTTAAATTAGAAAATGTGAAATCATTCCTCCTGATTTAAATTATCTTTTTGTTTTCTTTTGGCCAGATGCTTTCTCCCTACCATCACAACCAAACTTCAATTTCTTTAAAAAATAGAATATTTTTGCTTCTTTTTGAGGCACTGAATGTTGTTTCCATAGAAACAGTAATAACGTCACAGATTATGACTGGTGACTATGAACAAATAGATAAATAAAAAGGTCAAATCAAGAAAATCTTGACACATATATCTAGCAATAATCAGTACCAAAGCCGAAGCCAGAAAGGACAGAAAAGTAATAAAAAAATTCACATGCATATACATGTTAGTCTATTTTAACTGGACTTTAAATAAGCACAAGTAATTGATTATAAGGGCAGGGCTTATGTCTAAGTCTTTTTGTATATAACAAGGACTTAAAACACTGCCTTGCAAATAATAGTCACTCTGTTGAGTGAATAAATGATCAAGAAACTACATATTAGCTTCAAAGAATAATTTCCTAAATTAGTGTTTTTCAAACAGCTATTTATGACCCTTGAGTAACTTGCAACATCAGCACAGTTTTAAAAATGACATATAAATGGATAAAGAAATTGTGGTTTAAATACACAATGGAGTACTACGTGGCAATGAGAAAGAATGAAATATGGCCCTTTGTAGCAACATGGATGGAACTGGAGAGTGTTATGCTAAGTGAAATAAGCCATATGGAGAAAGACAGATACTATATGTTTTCACTCTTATGTGGATCCTGAGAAACTTAACAGAAACCCATGGGGGAGGGGAAGGGAAAAAAAAAAAGGAGGCTAGAGTGGAAGACAGCCAAAGCATAAGAGACTCAAAAAACTGAGAACAAACTGAGGGTTGATGGCGGGTGGGAGGGAGGGAGGGTGGGTGATGGGTATTGAGGAGGGCACCTTTTGGGATGAGCACTGGGTGTTGTATGGAAACCAATTTGACAATAAATTTCATATATTGAAAAAAAATAAAAAAAATAAAACTTAAAAAAAATGACATATAATAGAAAATATCAGAGTAAGCAGCGTGTAGTAAGATGGGTTACTTTATATAATACACTTAGAAGTATATTTAATGTATAGAAGATATATATTTATATAAGTATGTTTTCCCACCTTGTAAAATGCATTTTTTACTGTGAATTAAAGCAAAAAAAAAGTTTGAAATATACTTTCTAAATGTCACTCTGGGAGCCAGTTTATAATTCTCATCAAAATTCTTAATTGCCTGGAAATAGCTTATGTGCTAAGGGAACTGAGCTTAAGTCATGATAAATTAATCACATAAGAAATGTTCTCATTTCTTCACCTTTCCTTTCCTCTCCTTGGTAATGATTTATTGTTATTTGTTAGATGCATACGGCATCTTTCCTTCCGTTTGAAAATAAGTTGTGACTAAGTAACAATAATTCATGTTTAAAAGAAATTGAGAAGTTTTACTCTGCATGACAAGTTATCCCATTTAATCAACATGCCAGGCTGCCCTGCTAATATCCAGACAGCTCAGGAGGTACTGAAGCACATTCATTACACTCAAGAAGATATATTTAAGGAAGTGGCTAGTGAAAAATGTGTGAGATGAAAATTATATTTGTTCCTAAGAAATTATTTAAAAAGTTACCTGCCTGATAAGATCAAAACCATTATAAATATCATAATTACTTAAAGACAAGAAAATAAGATCATTTATTCTTAAACTAATAAATAAAAAACTACTGCTACCAAGAGCACAAAATGAAACGCTAATGGCTTTGTAGTTAATTATAATAAAGGAGAGCAAAACTTGTCTGGAGAGAAGCAAGATGTTACATCTATCTAAAGTATCTCCTCCACTGCATCACTTTCCAATCACCTATTATATAAAATGTTTTGTACTTTATATCATTCTTTAGCCATGTTTACTCTTTTGAAAATAAATGTTTAGGTGAGCAATGTAAGCAGTAAATGATCTGTCTAAATGGAAATATAATCCCAATTCTGTCTTTTTTACTTATAGATTAGAACTGGTGGGTTATTAAAACTGAAAACTCTTGGGGTGCCTGGGTGGCTCACTTGGTTAAGTGTCCAACTTTGGCTCAGGTCATAATCTCACAGCTCGTGAGTTCGAGCCCTGTGTCAAGCTCTCTGCTGTCAGCACAGAGCCTGCTTCAGATCCTTTGTCTCCCTCTCTCTGCCCTTCCCTCCCTCTCTCTCTTTCAAAATCAAATAAACATTAAAAAAAAAAAAAAAAAAAAAACCTGAAAACTCTTAAGGACCTAATGCATGGGAGAGGATATAGAATATACACATTAACCACTAAATAAGCAGCCTCCATGTTGTTTGTAATATGCTGGCTGACAGTAAGATTCCCACTTTATTCCTAATTTTATGTCAATGGGGATGGTGAAAGAGACATTTAATATAGGTACTTTTGCTTAAAAATCAATTTCTACAATTTTACGTTAGCAATATGTGTCATACTTTTTAAAAACTCAATTCAAAGCATTAGAAGTTAACATGTAAAAGGTTAAATCGTGTTCAAATTATGAAAATATTTTATGAAATGGCAAATTTTGTCTTAAAGGAGAATATTTTTTTTGAGAGAGACAGAGGGAGAGAGTGAGTGCAAGTGAATGAGGGGCAGAAAGAGAAAGAGAATCTAAGACAGGGCAGAGGAAGAAAGAGAGAGAGAGAAAAGGGGCTCACCCGAAGTGGGGCTCGTGTTTTACCCAAAGCGGGGCTCATGCTCACCCCATGCAGGACACAAGCTTACTGGATGTGGGACTTGAACTCACAAACCATTAGATTGTGAACTGAGCTGAAGTCATATGCTTAACAAATGAGCCATCCAGGTGCCCAGGAGTAGAATAATCTTGTAGATAGTCCTATCAAAGTATACTTGCTTACCAGTAGCAACTTAAAAATAACTATATAATTTTCTATTATCAGGGAACAGCAGGATTTTGCCCCAGTGTTGCTATTCATTGCTATTCCTCCCACATGGTTGCTATCCTAACTACTAGAAGATGCTGGAAAATGACTTAAAGAAGGGAAATCATAAGAGGTGTGCATTTTAATTTATTTCTTTCAAGATGAATTCCTAAACTTTCTGGAGAGGGCTTTATCAGGCACCTTCCATGATAAAGCACTGGGCTATTGGGTTAGCTTTGCAAACTAATATGCACTGAGAAGGAAAAGCTTGGAGCAGGATGGCCACTCTATTTACTACTGTTTGCATCTTTGACTTTATTCTGTTCAATAGAACAGTGTATTTTCCCAAGCTCTTCTAATTTTGACCTCTGGTATCCCAAAACTTGAGTTAGCAAAATTGGCTTCTCTTTTATATTCTTGGCCTTATTCCTTTGGTTAAATATCCCTGCTCTAGGTTCGGCTCTATGTTTCTGATTCAAGCCTAGTAACTTAACTTTCATTCCTGACCATGAACTTGATTGTGATTTTTGTCATTTGAAATGCCACTCCATCACCTCAATGTTTGGTAATGCAAGCATAAATGTTCTGCATCATAGTCACTACCTGAACTGCTTCATAACCAAGATGACTTAAGGGAGCAAAATAAACACAAACAGAAATAATATCAAGGCTTTGGAAAAGAAAGATTAAACCCTAAAAGAAACCGCAGATCCAAGAAAAATACAAAGGAAAATATTGTGAGAATTAGTTTACATGTAAATGCCAAAAGAGAAAAATGGAATCATAGAATATGGGTAATAAAAAAAGGCTGAATATACAAGTTTTCCCCTATTTTAAACTAAGAACAGAATTCTTCAGTAGTATTAGGTAAACTTACTCAGTAGTAGTTAATAGATGTCCTGCCTGAATGGAGAGGGCGGAAAAAAAATCCCTCTCAATTAAAAATACTTCAGCATCAATTGATCCTAATTAGGTAAATAGCATGTAAATTAAACTAAAATCAAACACAAACTAGCTGAAACTAGATGTTTGGACAATGCTCTAAAATCAGCTTCATACAGGTAAATCCAACTTTATATTTGTTTTGTTGAGTTTGAAAGCAGGTACTCATCTTCTCTATCACTTTGTTTTATTTTCTTTGTACCATTATTATTTTATTTATATATGTATGTATATATATGTGTGTGTATATGTATATATACATATATATGTGTGTGTATATATACACACACATATATATGTATGTGTATGTGTGTGTGTGTGTGTGTGTATATATATATATATATATATACATATATATATGTATAATTTGTTTACTTGTTCATTTCCATCTTCCCCTAGTAGAATATTAACTCAATGAGGTCCGGGACTTTATCTGTTTTGTTCATCACTCTATCTCCAGTGCTTATAACAGTGCCTGATATATACAGTACGCTTTCAATAAGTTTCTCAAATGAATAAATGAATGATGTGGCATTTTGATTCCATTCTTACAAAATTAAAAACAAAGTTATCTGAGAGGACCAAGAAGCCACAAATACCAACAGTATTTCATCATATGTATCAAATGACTGGTCTAATGACTGGCATTGTTAATAAAGGGGAGGGTCAGGAGCAAGAGAATTTAGAAATCTAAATTAGAAATCTAGAAATCTAGTCTAATGACTAGAAAAAAAAAAGTTGATGTTTTCTCCCCACTGAGCTCTGTGGAGAGTATGCACACATATGACATTTAAAATGTTAATTAACATCTAAAGTTACTTTGGTTTCTAATCTTACCTTTAAGAAAATGCCAATTAATACCACCTAACTTACTGGTGGAGCACTGGCCTTCAAATAGATTTTCATTAGAAATCTTTTCTCATTTGTCAGTAGAGATACCTGAAGTCTTAATGATACCTGAGAACGAAATCTGATATCTGATTCGTTTTTAGGGGGAAGGGTGAAACACTTCCAAGCAAGAAAAATGCAGCTCTTGAAAGCCAAGTGGAAAGCTGAGGAGAGCTATAGCTTCCCATGTTCACTCTAATATTATTTTCACCTTGTTCTTTTTTCCTCCACAGAGAGAAAAATACACACACACACACACACACACACACACACACACTCATACTAGGAAAGAAAATTTTCCATTTACATTCTCCCACAACACTGAATAGCTACCTTCCGTAATCTTATAAGGAACAGAGAAGCACAGACATAATGATAAAATATTTTTGATTTAATAATACCCAACATAATGTAATTAGTATCTTAAGTGGCTATTTAATTCTAAAATATAGCTGGCAAGATTTTTTAGTGTTTTAATACTGGAACTTCTAATATTTGAAGGGAATCACAGGAGCAATTTGAAATTAATCATAATATCGACTGCTAAATTTTAGCAACTCAAAATTAAAAGTCCTAATAATTACGAACACTTAATGAGAGCTCACCATGTGCCCAACACTGCTCACACTTCACACAAATTGTCACTTATTCCTCATACTGATCCTACTAGATAGGTAGTATTATCTCTATTTCACAGATAAGAAGATGCAGACAGATATTAATTACTCGCCCAGGAGCATAATGATGGTAAGAAATGGAATAGGAATGCAAGCCTAGGCAATTTCATAGACTGAAACTTACAGTAACATATACACTCTCGATAACCCTTACCAAAAAATGATGGATACAGGGCAAGAGCACGATATCTGCCAGAGTGAAGTACAGGCCTTCTGCAAACACATGCTCCAGAGGCGGAAGGTCAGACACTTTTGCTTTTCTGATGTGAGAAGGCTCCCTGTTGGTAGTAGCTGGTTCTTCGTACACTGCGAGCTTTGAGAATGCCACTTGCAGTTCCAGGCTCTTGGATGAAGAGTCCAACTCTTCAGATGTTTCTTGTCTAAGGACCTTGCTCTTAGCATGGGCAGGCCCAACCCCAGCAGCCTTCTGTTGCTTCAGCTTCTGGCGACGGAGTTTGTCATCATTATGCACTCTAACGGGCTCACTGAGCTTTCTCTCTAGCTGCAGTATTTCTGCAGGGATAGTTGGGTGCTGGTCAGAAGACTCTTTGAGAAAATTCTCAATAGCTAAAGGGATGGTGAGTTCGCATAGCCTGGTCCACTGACTAACCTGCAAGACAAAACAAGAGATTAAAGGATTCTTTACTGTCAACATAGCTTGAAGAAAACTTTCTGTTGGGAAATAAGACTGGTTTTGACAATTTAACCCTTGAGCTAAACCATCCCTGGGCTAGGCTTTTATGCTAGTACAGTGCTTCAAAAGTGACAACACTAAACAATGGTCATGCATTCCTATACCTAGGAATACATGCTCACCTTGAGCATCCTCTTACTGAATAAATCCTTCCTTCTCAAAGCCTTCAAAGTCCATCCATCCCTAAAAAGTACAATTTTCAAAGCAGTGGTACTAGAGCTCCTGTTCATGTGTAAAGTTTCATTTAAAAATTCTCAATATAAAAAAAAAAAAAGAGAGAGAGGTTAGAGTGGGAGAGAGCCAAAGCATAAGAGACTCTTAAAAATTGAGAACAAACTGAGGGTTGATGGGGGGTGGGAGGGAGGGGAGGGTGGGTGACGGGTATTGAGGAGGGCACCTGTTGGAATGAGCACTGGGTGTTACAGAAACCAATTTGACAATAAATTTCATATATTTAAAAAGATAAATAAAAAATAAATAAAAATTAAAAAATAAAACAAAAAATAAAAATTCTCAATGTAATTAAAACAAAAGATTTTTTTTAAAAAGTCCTTCTCTAGAAATAATGTCTCCAAACCTCACAAATTAAATCTTAAATTCTTATTTTTCAACATTGCACTGAAATATTGGCATACATGAAGGGCTACTTTACTTCCTATAGGTTTTTTAAATAAACGCAATTTTAGCCTCCTACAGAAAGTTAAAATAAATGCTCGACTGAATGTGTTATCGTTTTATGGCTTTAAATAACAGAAAGAGCATTATACTTACTTCAGCACAGGCTTTCAAGCAAGTCTTCTTAAAACCCAGAAGTTCCAAAATTTCCTTCTTTGAGGGGTCAGCTTCATATGATTTCTGGATTATGTGTCTCAGTACAACAGCAAGTCCTGCTCTACAGAAATTGTCTGGTTTTTCTACTACTGCAGGTAAACAGCAATTCTGGACTATTGCTGGAAGTTCTTGCTTTGAAATAATCTGTATTTCAACATCCTGGGGCACTACATTTTTTAGCGAAATATCTGTGCTTTCTTTTGTGAGGACTAAGCCAACTTTGAAGATTTTGCAGTCACAGTATGATAACAAAAATAAAGTTACAGATGTATGAAGAGGAAAGATGCATCCTTCCATTTGGTGAGAAAAGTCCAAGTACAGATATTCTTCTGTAAGACTTTTCTTAATGCCTTTCATTTTCCTCTTTCATTGGGTCACCTGAAGCATAAATAAAAGTGGTTAATAGACCTTAGAATATAGTAATTTAGAAGCTGAAATAAAAGACGAATATTTTAAAACTTTTTCTAGAAATCAGCAAGGATTTGTGATAGGTACGATTCTACGAGAATTTGTTCCTGGACTGAATAAATGGCTTCCAAAAGAAAGATTTCCACCCCGTGCAATTAACTAGTCTTAGAGGTGATTTTACACCCCTCAAAATAAGCATACCCCAGGTGCTTTGCAGTAGAACCCTCCCAATCAAGTACTTTGGGCTCTCACTACAGGTAAGAACAAGAAATGAATAGAATAGGAAATAAGAAGTAACCAAGAATACTGGGAGCTGTCTGGAGAAGCTTTGGCCATGCTGGGCCTCCAAATAGCTGCTGTTTTATGACTCTACGATACAATAATTGGAGAGGGGGGATAGATATTCATTCCCTCATGAGAAATAAATTCTCCTAAAGTAAGTGAGTTTTGATTATGATGAGCGTGCTGAATCACAACAGAAAAAGATTTGAAGTTTCCCCATAACTCAGATGTTGACAACCAAGATATCTCAAAGTTAACATGTCCAAAATCATTCACCCCCACACCCTAAACCTGCTCCTCATGTGTCCTCCCCGTCTCAGTTAATGGAGCATCATCCTTCTAGTGGTTCAGCCAAACACCTGAAATCATTCTCAATTACTCTTTTCTTTAACACCTCCATAACCAATCCATTAAAAACTTACTTTGGTTCCTCAACATATATCTCAAATCTGTTTATTTCCACACCATCTTCATTGTTTCCACTGTGATCCAAGCCACAATCACCTCTCTTCTGTATTACAGCAACTATCTTCTAACCTTGCTTTCCATCCCACCTCCCCCTCTGTTCTATTCTCAACATGGTATCCAAAGTGATCCTGTTAAAAATGGAGTAAGATCATGTCACTACTCTACTCAAACACTCCATAGCTTCCCATCCTATTCAGAAAAAAGGCAAAGCTCCTTACAATGGCCTACAAAGTCCTCCTTGATCTGATCACTCAATGCCCCAGCCAGAGTGGCTTGTTATTCCTTTAAAACCCTAGATACACTCCCGCCTTTGCAGTGGGTTCCAGTGCCTGGAATACTCCCTCATCTCCTTCAAGTATTTACTTAAATGTCAACTTCTTATTGAGATGATCTCTGGCTGCTGTATTTAAATTGAATACCCCAACCCCCATCCTCCCTGAAAAAAACCTTTCTGTGCTTTTCTCCACACTTAGCACTGTGGTAGTATACTATATATTTTGTTTCCCACAGAGAGAATGTTCCATGAGAGCAGAAATTTTGTTTTGTGTACTGCTCTGCCTAAAACAGAACCTGAAGATAGATAGATTAGATAGATAGATAGATAGATAGATAGATAGATAGATAGATAGATAAAATCAAGAAGTATTTGTTGAATGAATGCATGGATACATACACACACTGGTTATTTTAAAGATGCAAACATACACAATCTTGAGATCAAATTATTGATGGGTGTTTTCAAGTCATACTCTTTAAGAATATTGTCAATTATGATGACTCTTTGTTTGATTTCTACATTTCCTGGGTCTAAAATTCCCGTGTTCTAATCCATAAATCACAATTCCAAACTTAACACTAGATGGCACTCTTTAAAAGCATTCACGATGGAAGGCTGTAATAGGAAGATGGTAGAGGAAAAATTATTTTAAAAGCCTTTAAAGAGTACACCTGAAACTTTCTTTTAAGTGTACTCTGAAATATTAGTGTACTCTGAAATTTAGGAAATCTTAAAAAATACTAAATTTCCTAAATTTCCTTTTTTAATTGAAAGCAAAACAAATATTTTTAAGTGTCTTGGTCCTCAGCTTTTTTGTTAAAGAGCTAATAATTCATTATAACAAAGCGATATAGTAAGTAAAGTGTTGTCTTAGAGAAACTTTTGATAATGCAAGTAATCACTACTATTTCATTTTGTATTTCTTTTATTAAAACATAACAGATCTGCACAATGTTTTGTTACTTCTTTAAGAGATTATCTAGGGAAAAATTATTTCATGTGATTTAGAAGCAACAACTTTTTTAAATTTTTTTTTTTTCAAACGTTTTTTATTTATTTTTGGGACAGAGAGAGACAGAGCATGAACGGGGGAGGGGCAGAGAGAGAGGGAGACACAGAATCGGAAACAGGCTCCAGGCTCTGAGCCATCAGCCCAGAGCCCGACGCGGGGCTCGAACTCACGGACCGTGAGATCGTGACCTGGCTGAAGTCGGACGCTTAACCGACTGCGCCACCCAGGCGCCCCAAGAAGCAACAACTTTTTAACCCATGGAAACCATTTTCTCCCTAGCTTAATTAGCTTTTTTTTTTTAATTTAATTTTTTTTTTTTTTTTTGCACCTGCAGTTTGCTTTAAAACTATTGCACTATTAAAGGGTGCTTATTAAAGCTCACAGGCAAAAGAAACCACCTTTTCTAGGAAACTAATCATTTCTTTGAGGAGTTTGTTCCTGTAAATCTACCGCTAATAACTTACTGATCTTCTTAATTCTCTCTGCTGATAGTGTGATACTATACAGAAGATCCCTAAATGCTTCAAGAAGCAGATTTGAAAGAAAACATGATGGATTTCCTCATTTGCCCAGCAGTCTAGGAAATAGTAATTATGAGACTAGTCCCGCTCTTTAAAAAATAAAAACAAAACTGAAACCAATGTCATGCTCTTTTACAACTTGTGATTTAGAAATTAAAAAATTAGGGGCGCCTGGGTGGCGCAGTCGGTTAAGCGTCCGATTTCAGCCAGGTCACGATCTCGCGGTCCGGGAGTTCGAGCCCCGCGTCGGGCTCTGGGCTGATGGCTCAGAGCCTGGAGCCTGTTTCCGATTCTGTGTCTCCCTCTCTCTCTCTGCCCCTCCCCCGTTCATGCTCAGTCTCTCTCTGTCCCAAAAATAAATAATCGTTGAAAATAAAAAAAAAATTAAAAAAAAAAAAGAAATTAAAAAATTAGAGTACATGTATTATTTGCTACTTTCCAAGGCATATAGAATAAGTACCTTGAGAATAGGCTTTTTTACATATTTTATAAACTTTTGTCACTGTGAGCACTTAATAAATGCTAAATGTCAACAAAACAGAATAGCAATAACCTGCCCATGGAGATATCTAAAAATTAATGAGATGCCGGAGAGAAAATGCAAAGTAGTGTTGATTCTTAACATAATTTATTTTTCCAATATAGATGTTGGTGTGTTGTGTCCCCCCCCCCCCCCCCCCCCGGGAGATTAAAAATGTTACTTAATGATCTTGGAGTTAAAAAATTACTCTCCCTGGGCAATTTCTTCCCATTAAGTACTAACGTAATTTCTAAAATAAATATTAAGTATTAGCAAACCTGTACAAATTTGATATATGTTTTTGGCTTGTACTATGTGTTTTTCAAGACAGTAGAACACAGTTTTTAAGTTTGCAAACATCATAGGCAAGAGAAAAGCCTCTTCTCTTTTTTTCTTCTCCATTTCTACCTAGAGATTCCTTACATAATTATTTTTATGTCATGAGCTTTAAAAAGGTAGGTACTATAGAATCATCTTTGGGGTTTCCGGGGTTCCTGGGGCAGCTCCTGTTACTCCATATTACGTTCCTGCCAAGCACAGAAGTAGTGTCATTTGCTCAGCCTGGACAGGTGCCACACTCTAACTACTCCTGAGACAGAGAGAGAAAATAGCTGACAAACTTGGCTGCTAAACAGAGCTGATGGAGGGTACATCTCTTCCCTGGATATGCCAGTTTGTTTGGGAATGCTGCTGAGGAAATAAAAAGGGAAAAGAAAATATTTAAGCCTGATTTCATTACTTGTGACTCTTCATAGATATTTTTAAACATAACTGAAGCAGTCACAGGTTTAACATTTTAGGCATTTACCTTTTTTTTTTTTTTTTT